GGCCAGTGAGTCCAAATATCAGTTGAAAATAATAAGCAATTGGTGCACCTGTTTTTCTGGGGAAGGGATCTTGCATGAGCTTCTTTCTGGAAGTAGTAGCTCAGTGATTAAGTATGTTAATGCAGAAACCAGATTTCCCAGGTTTCAGCCCCAGGTTTACCATGTGTTACCATGACTTGAGGCAATTGTCTAATTTCTCTTTAAGGTTAAGAAACACTGGCTTTCTTATCAGTAAAACAAGAGTAATAACAGCAATTAGATGTGGGTGAGATTCTGCCATGGAGAGAATCTTTAAAATAATCTATAAACAATATACAATAATAACATATATGATTACCATTTATTTCATGAGCCAATATTTGTTAAATAAGGCATAACCCAAACAAGTCATAGGATTTCAAGAACTGGATCTTTAGATACAGTAAACCAGCTAGGCACGATGGCACACACCTACAATCCCAGCACTCAGAGAGGCTGAAACAGGAGAGTTGGCTCCAATTCCAGGCCAGACTGGGCTACATAGTGCATTCAAGGCCAGCCTGGCCGGGTGTGGTGGTGCGCGCCTATAATCCCAGCACTCAGGAGGCTGAGGCAGGAGAATTGTTGCGAGTTCAAGACCAGCCTGGACTACAAAGTGAGCTCACGGCCAGCCTGAACTGCACAGTGAGACCCTGTCTCAAAAAGCCAAAAAAAAAAAAAAAAAAATTGCCAGCCTGAACTACATGGCAAGATCTCATCTCAATTCCAATGCCCCCCAACCAAGAACACTTCCCATGACTTTGAATTACATGTCAAATACAACAGAAATTCTAAGTCTCAACTTAATTTTCTTTTTTTTTTTGGTTTTTCTCCGGTACCGGGAACTGAACTCACGACCTTGCGCTTGCCAGACAGGCGCTTTTGCCGCTGAGCTAAATCCCCAGCCCCTCAACTTAATTTTCTTAATTGGATCTTACCTTCTAGACAGGGCCAGAAAGCAATACTGCCTTATTCACTTAGTTCCTATATGTTGAAGACTCGCTGTGTAAGGATTAAAAGGCTGACCACAGTGCTCTGAAGGCAAGATAACACCACAGCTGAGGCAGTGGAGGTCACAGGGTCCGGACTGACACACCCTATTCCAGAGCAATAACTGCCAACCTAAGAGATAAAACAGCAAGATTCACTTCTTAGCATATCTTTGATCCTTTTTCATGCTCTTGTTCAGTTTCCTGCCTTTACCTCAGCTTTATTCTTCACTTTCCCTCACCTCCCCTCAACTTATTTGAAATCCAATAAAAACAGGTATTATGGTTTGTGTCTGGATGTCCCCCACAAAGCCTCATGCTTTTCAGAGGTAGCTAAATCTAGAGTTTGTAACTGATTTATTGTCTAGTACTGTGATTATGGGTGTGAGTGGTACTCCCACCCTAGGGTGGGTAGCCCACTGTTATGGTTTATGTCTGTGTGTCCCCCCAAAGCCTCATGTGGCCATGGGGCAGGCTTTTAGTTTGATTATTATGGGTGTGAGAGCTGCACCTGCCCTGGAGCGGATAGTTTGCATATGTAAGGGAGAGGAAAAGGGTGCTTGAGGCTATTCTGCCCTGGTGTGTGCTTGTGGCTTTTGCTGTGTTCCGTCACCCTGAGCTGTAGCTCTCTGCTGTGTGCCACTCTTCCTTATAATCTGCCAAGTATGGACTGAAACCTCCACGAACTGTAAGCGAAATAAACCTTTCCTTCCTTAATTTTGGGCATCAGGTATTTTGTCCCAGCAACGAGAGAAAAGTAACCAAGACATCCACATGCAATATAAGGGATAGAAAGAGTCTTCTTTCATGCTCCTCCTTTTCTGCTCTCACTGCTTTTGCTGTCTTCTGCTGTCATAAAATGTTGCCCATGTGCCACACCACTCTGCCTTCGAGCCAACTGATTATGGACTGAAACCTCTACAAGCTGTGAGCCAAAAAAAAAATCTTTCCTCCTTTAATTTCAGGTGTCAGATATTTTGATCCAGCAACGAGAGAAAAGTAAGTAAGACAACAGGGAAGCCAGAGAAGTCTTTGCCTGAGCTCCAAGAGAGTTCTCACCTTCCTGGATGCCCTAAACCATATTGGTATTTTGTCTTTATTCAATCCTTTTCCATAAGCTTATCTCTAAACTCTAGAGCCTGATCAGTTCCTGATACCTACAAATTATCTCTATTTTCCAATTTGCCTTTGAAAAGGAAATCAAAGCAAAAATACAAACTTGGTTTAGATCCCTCAATGTTTCATCATGGACCATTAACGAATTTCCTTTTTTAGTTATGAGAAAACAATTTGTTCTCAACTAATTCCTTTCAATTTAAAAATTATTTCTGATTTCTGTGCTTAGTATGTAAATTTCCAAGATTCAAAGAGTTAAAAAAATATTTATCAGATTATTTTCCCTTCTTGTATCTCATTTTTAAAAAGCTGTATTGGTAATTATCATGTTTAGCTCTAATTCAACATTGTAAGGGGATTAATAGTGTTATCTATTAAAAAAAATTTGTATTCTTAGCTAAAATCAAGCCAACCCCCACAAGAAACCCCCCAAAACCCCAAAATCCACAAGACCAAACCAAAGCAAAATGAAAGCAAAACTTCCCACACTTATTTGGATTTTCTGAATAAGTTTTTAAAAAATCCTTGCACTTAAACCTTGCACAGATGTCCCCGCTAACTTTTTTTTTGGAAAATGAACCAGAAGTTTTACTCATTTGTTTCTTGTGTGACATCCTTGACCTGAGATTCTTTGTCAGAGTCCTTTAAAAAAGTACATGCAAGTTTTTATTAATATTTAAGTTCTACTAGCTCTTAGCCCTAGTTAAAGTTTTAAATGTCTTATAAAAATGCTTTCCATCATTAAAATTTGTAACCATTTTCAGGGTCTTTAATGACTTTGATGTTTTTAAGGTTCATAACGTGGCGGCATTACTATTGCCAGCTTTTTCTAAATTTCTGCAGAAACACATACAGGTAGGCAAATTCAACAGCTAGCTTCCATCTATCTTTTGAATATTGTAGTTTTCAGAATTTGGAAATACATTTCACTTATTTATCCCCTAACTTACTGCATTGGGTGCTGATCCCTGGCTGAATAATAGGGTAAAGATTAAAAGAGATTGCACTATAGCAGAAAATGCACTGCTGTCCTCCCTAGCCTATCAGTTAGTTGCCCAGTTAGTTCCTGTTACAAGTTCCTGTTACTTCTGTCTCTTAGAAACGGCTGGTCACTATGATGTGTATTGTAAGAGCCAATCAAAGTCATCCAAGTACTCTGCCTCTGTACTTTCCCTTTCAACTCCATATAAACCTCCCTCTCCAGGACTTTGGGGTCTGACATTTTGAGGGATAATTGATTCCTTGTCAGTGACCTTCTGATGTTAAATAAATCTGCCTCCACATCTTGCATGTTGTTTTGGTGTTTCTGCTTGCTGTTGCACACATAAGATTTTAAGAGCTCAATTCCTAATTAGTAATATCATTTAACTAGCTAAAATCCATTTTTGCTTTTAATATCTATATTCAGGTGTTAGCATAAATAACACTCGACTAAAACATAGACTGTTTTTGGTAACTAAGAAGTGTGTGGGCACACACTTGTTATCCCAACTACTTGGGAGGATCAGGCAGGAGGATTGCAAGTTTGATTCTAGCCTAGTCAGTTTTGGGACTTACCAAGACCCTGTATCAAAATCTTAAAAGATGAGCAGGGTGGGTGTGCAGGTTGGGAATGTAGTTTAGTGCAAAATATCTTGGTTTGGGGTACTTGGGGTGGAGGTGCTTTTGGAATCTGTAGAGCAGACAGCACAAATTGAGTCAGCTGATATCCCCAGGTGTCAGGTATCACAGAAAGAATGGTAATTTTCTAATGTAGGAGGAAAGATAGAGGGAAGCCTTTTACAGGTATTAGATTTAGATATAAAATAACTCCAAATTTCCTTGGCTTTGTTTTGTTTTGTTTTGTTTTTTGAGACAGGGTCTTGCTCTCACTGTGGAGTCTAGACTGGCCTCGAACTCTTTCTGCCTCAGCCTCCTGAGTGATGGGATTACAGGCATGCACCCACCATGCCCAGCAGCTTTTCATTCTTTGAAACTACCTTGTACCTGGTGTTAGAGCCATAACCCACAGTCTCAAAATTCAGCTCATTTACTACAATCTATGTGGATAATCATATGTGATGCCAAAAGTGGGTCTAAATGTTGAAATTTTGAAAGAATTTGAGGGAGGATGGTAACAGGGCTCACCTTGGGGCAAAGTCCTCAATCTTCTCCAGAAAGCCAAAGGTCACTACAACAGACCCCAGGTATAGCAGTACTCTGTTCCAGATCTGGCCCTCAGTTTACATTCTCAGGACCCTGACTAGTAGGGCACAAAGAATGATCTAATGATTTGTCACACACGACCAAGTCCACAGGATAATGTACAAAGCTGGCATATCAATTTCCTACTAGTATAGTGTAAGAGCTGGATATTTAAGTTCACACTGATCAGAACTTCTTCCTCTGAAGACGACTCCACTGGGAAAGAAGCCTCAAATAACCAAGGGGTTTTGGAGCCAGACTCTAAACTGGGTTTAGGGTGGATGAAACCTCAATGAGGTTTGCAGTCCTATAAAATAGTAATTACTACTAGCCACGCATCTCCTACTTACAGTAGTATATGGAAGCTAGGAGGTTATGTTCCCCAGGGCCTGCAAAAGGAAACCATTGCTGGTCTTCTGATCCCAGATTCCCAGCTTTTGACACTGTAGAGTGGTGCAGGCCAGCGCGATCTTGGCACCCTGATTTGTACTTGGAGTGATGAACTTGGAGGGGTCCAAAGCTGAACTTCAGAAAGGAGGCAGAGATGCTCTTGGTCTCCGTGGAGACTTGGTACCTAGGACTACGTTTCCCAGACATCGTCGGGGCTAAACGTCCACCGATTGGTTAATACTGACAGTCAATACGACGGCGTGCAACTCCTACAAACCAATCATAAGCAAGAGAAGGCGGGCTCTCTTGAGCGGGGCTAAAAGGAGCGGAAAGGTAACTGCACCCAGAGCTGCGCCTGACTAGGCTGAGCGGGGTTCCCCCACGTCCTCCGCGCGTGTCTGGCGGCGTGCTTTGCGCCAAGGACCCGCGGGTGCCTGGGAAGCTGCACGTGCCGGACAGCTGCCCGCCGAGTGCCCGTTTGTCGTCGCCTTGCGGAGGCCGCGCCCCTGGCCGTGTCGCTTTCTGGCTTCGCCCGTGGCCGTCACCTGTGGAGAGCGCGTCCTCCGCGCTGCGGCCCCTGGGCGGGAGGGAGAGCTGGCGCCATGTCCCCCGCGCTGCAGGACCTGCCGCCAACCGGTAAGTGCGACCCGGCCCGCGGGCTGCGGTGGTGGGAGCGCGCGTGTGAACTCTGGGCCGCAGGCGACCTCTCCGGTTCGGGGGACGCGGGCGGGGCTCCCCGTGCCTGCGGCTTCTTCCGAAACCAGCCGGGAGCCCGAGGCTGCGCTTCTTGCGCGCTTTCCTCCCCGGCCGGGAGAACCCGCCCCGGACTCCGCTCCCCAGCGCCGGAAACACGCTCTGGACCTCAAAGTAATCACGTTTTTCGGCTCGAGGCGACGTATTCCAGTCGAGCCCTGCCAAAAGTTTTGCGTGATGTCACGTTCTTATTCAGTAAATATTTACTGAACGTCTGCTGCCAAAGAGAGCTCAGGGGTTGGGAGGCTGATACCCCGAGGAGTACTGAAAACGGGAGTGGAACAGTTCTTTTCCGCTTTTACTCTCCTGCAAACTCCGGTCTGGTTAGTCTCTGTGTTAAAATGGACCAGCAGCCCCACCTCCCAATACTCGGCCGGCCTGGATGGGAAGTAGTGCTCTCATTTGACTCAGGGATCAGTAACGAGGAAAGCTGGTTGAGAATAAGGATGGAGTAGCATTTCAGCTTTATATGAGCTCTGGGTCTCATAATTTGTGGGCAAATACCCCATTAAAATGTGTGAGGCGTGTGCCAGGAGATGTGGAAGCTAGAGAATCTGTAGTAAGGGCCACGCCGCAGTAACTTTCTGGTGACAGGATGCTCAACTCCAGGAGGAGGGTGAATGCCAAATTCACAACCCGGAAGGAAATTTATCTGGTGACCCTATCGGCTCTAGGGTCCTGATGAAGGCAGCTGGTAGACTTGTTCTTGAAAATAGTGGGATTGTGGCTGAGAAACGTAACACTTTAACAGGAGAACTGCTTCTCTCCTAGGAGTATCATAAGTGCTTGAATACCCTTACTCAAGGCTTCAGACTTCCGCCTTTCCAGTTACTTCTAAAAGAGAAAAGTGATTTCTCTTTTGTCTGAAGGGAGGCACAATGCTTCTGAAGATTTAGAATATCGAATGACCATTTTACAGAAAAATGAAAGGAAAATTGTTGAGTGTTTGGATTGAGCCCATCTCCTTCACCCGTGTGGCTTTTACCCTTAAACACCGATCGAAGAATAACCAAGTTTAGGGCCTTAACTTTAAGGAGCTCTGAGTCAGACCTGTGGGCCTAGAAAAGACCTTAGATGTATATTTGCTGCTAGGTACAGTTTTTAACTTCCTAAAAACCATTAGTCAGTTATTGGTGTCTAGTTTTATGTGTGTGTGTGTTCGTGTGTTTGCACTCACGCACTGACCCCCCCTCCCTTCATAATGTTGAGTCTTGATTTTCTTTTGTGGTGCTAGGTCCATGCTCTATGACTGAGCTATACCCCAACCCCATTAGGTTCAGTCTTTTTTTGGCAGTATTGAGGTGAGGGGTTAGGGCGTGGCAAACTGCCTGGTAGATGGGCGTGGCCTGTTAATTACAGCGTTTCAAGATAGGTACAGAATGGTTCAAAGCCCTGCAGGTAGAACCAATCCGGGAGTGCTATCTTTAGTTCTTCCTGCTAGAACCTGGACCAGGTTTCTGATAGGGCAAACTGGACCTGTCCTCATTGAGCTGAGGCTGCTGTGCTCTTTCACAGTAGTGTACTTACTTCTTTCCCTAGTTTTAGTTGGCCTGAACTTTCTCTGCAAAGCATGTTTCTTTTCTTTTTATACCTTTTCCCCCTTCCCTTTAATAAATATAAAACCTCACTACTTTTTACACTTGTCCTGACCAATTCTGTGTTCAGGATAGAAAAAAAAAAATCTAAAAACCACCTGTAGAAGATTCCAGAACCCTAAAACTGGGTAGCAGCGTTGGGGATTGAACTCAGGTACTTCTTAACAAGCTACATTCTCAGCCTACTATTTTGTTTTTTAAAGACAGAGTGTCATAAATTGCTAAGTTAATCAGGTTGGACTCAAACTCGGGATCCTCCCGTCTTACCCTTCCAGAGTGCTGGGATTCCAGGCCTGTACCACAAGAGCTTGCTGTATGGAATGGAATCTTTCATTATTATCTATTTTTTGAGACAGGGTCTCAAGTTCAGGCTGGCCTTGAACTTACTATGTAGCCTAGGATGGCCTGAAACTAGAGGTGATCCTCCTGCCTCAACCTCCTGAGTGCTGAGATTACAGGGATGTACCATCATGCCTGGCTGTGGAATCTTAATGGAGCTATTTAATGAAGAATTGGTAATTCTTGAATCTCAAGGTTGGGCCTTCAGGTTAATTGTCTGTGACCTCAGATCTTGTTTGTACCCCCTGGGTAGGTGGCTGGTGGGCTAGGAAATACTTACTTTGAGAAAATTTCAAATACATCTTCTGTTTTTTTATCTTATCCTTGCTTAGTACATTTCTGTTATATGGAACTCACTTGATGAATAATTGTTGCAAGAACAAAGAAATGATCAAGTGAATTAATATCAGCCTAATCCTTCTAGGGCTTATTAAGATCACAGGTGGAAACAATATTTTTTAAAAAAGGAATAATATACAAGCAAAGAGATGGCTACAAAGTGTAGCAAGTAAGTACAAGCTAAAATTAGGAATCCAAAAATAAAAAGTACTGTGCAAGGGACTTGGAGAGCAGAGATACAGACTTTAATATAGTAAAGGCAGGAAACTGCTGAGAAAGCATTGAGATCATATGCTGATGTGCAGAAAAAAAAAGACCATTTTTTTCCTTGTTCCATTTGGCATGGTGGAGAGGGAAATCCCAGGTAAATCAAGTCTACATGGATGGAGTTGAAGAAATATGTTCCTGACATTGCAGTTTACTACTTATATTCACATATTGGGGGTTTATTGGGTTATGGCTTTTATCTTGTCATTCTTTAGGAAGGTTCTTAAAGGTGGTGTTATATGATTCGTACTTCAACATTTGATTGTGCTGCAACCATGCATAATCCCATGTTTGTTTGTTCTTTAGAATACAGTTTTATTAACTAAAAAAGAAAATGTTAATATAGAAAAAGGTACATTGGCTAGATCCACTCAGACTGAGGGAACTAGTGTGTGATCTCGGGTTTATTGGTCAGTATTTCTTGGGCCTCTGTCCTCTCTACTTCAGTTGCCTACATCATATACACATTGTCTAGGTTACTTTTCCCTCCTTGCTGAGACAAAATACCCAACATCCAAATTAAAGAGGGAAAGGTTTATTTAGCTCACAGTGTGTGGAGGTTTCAGTCTATAATCAGCTGGCTCCAAGGCAGAGTGGCACATGGCAGAGGGGCAACACTTCAAGGCAGCAGAAGACAGCAAAAGCAACAAGAGCAAAAAAGGGGGGCATAAAGCAAGCCCCTTTTCCTGCCTTATATGGCATGCTGGTTATCTGACCATACCATCTCCTTGCCCTCCTCTTCTGTAAGCTCAGGCTGTTTACAAAGTAAGGACCCTGGCTCCCTGTTGAGTTGCTTAAACTTTTAAACTTCTCAAATTGACACAATGTATCAACAATAACAATCCACCCCTTGTCAAGTTGGCAACCAGACATATTTCTTTAAACCAGTTTCCAGATACAAAGGCAAGCTTATTCTTAACATTTCATAACTTAAACATTATAGCACAGGTTTAACAATCCTTAAGAACCAGTATTAAGTCTGTCAGTGTCATATTACATTAGAGCCATAACATTCTGCCCCCTACAAGACTCATGCACATCCCTTTAAGCAAAAGGCAGTTAGTCCATCTCTAAGCATTGCCAAAATCCTAACAATTTCAGCATTGCTGAAAAGTCCAAGTCCCAAGTCTGCTGCCAGATGTAAGGCAAACTTAGCTGCAAGCCCCTGTACAAATGAAAACAAAGTTAAACACTTCCAACATTCAATGGCACAGGTGAACATTTTCATTCCAAAAGTTACAAACAGGAATGCAAAGGATTGGGACCAAAGCAAGTCCAAAATCCAGCAGGGCAAACGTTACGTCCCAAGTTCCATGTCTAGCATCTGAAGCAATCTATGGCACACTGTGACCTCCAAAGAGCTTGCATGGCTCCACCCCTATGGCACTTCTGGTGGTTATAGCTCCCATTCATGGCTTCTCTCTTAGGCCCTTTGTGTGCCCTCCTTTCAGGTTTCCTAGATGATCCACTTTCCTGGCTTTTTTAAACTTCTGGGGTTTCCATTGCACTTCTGGCATCACCCTCACAGCTTCACACACTACCTTCTCCGGGGCACACTGCCTAGCCTCCCAGGCCTTCTGAAATTGGAGTGGAAGCCCTCTTAACCTCTCACAACTCTTGCATTCTCCATGCACCTAAAACCAGTGCCACATGGATGATGCGAAGGTCTGCTGCCAGCTGGAGGAGTAGCCAGGCTTTTGTCTCTCTTAGCTGTAGGGGTCGTGTGCCTGGATCGCTGGGCACTCTGAATTCAATTCTGAGGAACAAATTTTCTGTGCTGCCGCCATTCTGGAACATGATGTTCTGCGGCTTTCTCCTCAAAGCAGTCTTTCACTTTTGCAGTTTTGAGGCTGCAAATGGTGGAGACTTGCTGCTTCTTGTGATGCCTTCAGGCCATCTTTTCTATTCTCCTGTTCCTTCTCAGTAGTGGAGATCTCCTCAGTTCAGTCTTTGCAGTTCATACCTTTATTGGAGCTTCCTTTCTGGCCAAACTCACAACATTTTAAATCATCCTGCTGGACTCTTTGCTCTTGATTCTCAACATAAATCTGGTTGAAAACCCCCAGTAGCAGCCATGCCACAGCCTCAACATTTGACTGCCTTGAAATTTCTTTGCCAGATTAATTGGTCCACCACACTTAATCTTAGTCTCAAACAAAGTCTCTGGACATGAGCAAAGTGCAGACAAACTTTCTGCCAAGCCATAACACCCATCATCTGGAGTCCAACAACCAATGCAGTCTTCCTTCTGAGCATAAACCTCCCTAGCCCAGTCTTTACAGCAGGATTTCTATCAGCCTTCTTGTCTTCTGAGCTCTGACCAGAATCTCCCTTACAGAACAGCCTAAGGCATTCCAGCTCTACTCTTTAGGCAACATCGCCAAATCTTTCCAAATTCTTCCCACAAGCCATTCTTAAAGGCTCTTGAACCACCTGATCAGGTATAGTCACAGCACTGACTCCACTTCTCTGGTATCAAATTCTGTCTTGATTACTTTTCTCTTGTTGCTGAGACAAAATATCTGACACCCAAAATTAAGTAAGGAAAGGTTTAATTAGCTCACAGTTTGTGGAGGTTCCAGTCTGTAGTCAGCTGGCTCCAAGGCAGGGTGGTATGGCACAGGGGTAACACTTCAAGGTGGCAGAAGACAACAAAAACAGCTAGAGCAAAAGGGGAGAAAACAAGCCTCTTTTCCTCACTTATATTGTAAGCAAGCTACCCTCCATCCTGGGGATGTGTGATACTCACACAGTCTCCGTGCCTTCCTCTTGCATAGGATGAGGATATTTAAACTTCTCAACTTCTCAAGTTGACACAATGTATCAACCATTACACACACATTTATAAAACTATTTCTGAGTCAGAGAACTAATCAGTTAAGTGGGGAACTGCAATACTATGATTCCTGTATTTTATGAAATATATTTGAAAGAATCCATTCTAGTTAGGACATCACTAGTCAGTAGTAAAGTGTATAAAATGTTTTAGAACTAATGGACTTAATGCGATATGTTATTTTTAGGACTGAGGTTGGTCTTCACAAAAGAGCAATATTTCAGTAAATGCCTACTCTACAAAAGGAAAGCATAATTGTCCTGGGGACCTACCCTTCTGAGGAGGTTCTGATGGTAAATAATTAGAATAGCAATTAGAAGCCAGTGAAAATAACCTTCCACTGGAAAAGCTGGAGGGCATACAGAAGGGTAAGAACAATGGACACTTACACCAGATCTTCTGGAGGAAAACTTCTCAGTTTCTCTAAGTGAGAAGTCTTATATTGTTTCTTAAAGGAAAAATAAGGAGGTGGGTGATGTATTTTTAAGGATCTTAGTTGCAGAGAAGTTTTGTATTCCATTCCTACCATCCACACTCATGTTTTGTGTTCCTTTTTAATATGTAATTCTTATGCACAATTCTCTTGCTTCCATAGGCAGCCTATTTTACATATATACGTATATTTGTATGTTACCTCATAAACTGTAGCCTGTGTACATATTTTTAATTTGCATAAATGGTATCTTGGTAACTAATCATTTCTGACTTTTTCATTCAAAATTCTATCCTTTTACTTAGCCTTAGGTTGCTTCCTACTTGTCATTCCTACAAATAGCCTGTTTGTGTTCTCTTAGGAACTTGTAAGAGACTTTCCTTGGAAAATTACCCAGAAGTAAAATTGCTGGGTTTCCTTTTTTTCCTATCTTGTCCTGTCAGTTTCTCCCTTCTTCTTACCTCCCCTTTTCTTCCCCTTGTCTCCCTTCTCCCCTCCCCACTTCTTCCCCTTCTCCCTCCCACTCTGTGACATTTATTTATTTATTTGGGGGGAATGATGACACTTTACACTGAGCTATATCCCTAGCCCTTTTTATTTTCTGTTTTGAGACAAGATCTCGTCACGTTGCCCAGGTTGGCTTTAAATTTGTGATTCTCTTGCTGCAGCCTTCTGTATAACTGAGATTATTGTACAGGCACGCACCACTGTGCCCTGCACTGATTTTCTGTGTACTTAATTTTATTGAGTTTTGCTAAGCTGCTGTCCAGAATGGCTATACCTGTATTCCAGCAAGCACAGTTGAAGGTTTGTTTGTTTGTTTGTTTATTTATTTATTTAGTCGTTTTGAGACAGGGTCTTGCTATATAGTTCAGGCTGGCCTCGAGCTCACTTTGTAGCCCAGGCTGGTGTTGAGCTCGCAATGATCCTCCTGCCTCAACCTCGCGAGTGCTGAGATTACAGGCATTCACCACCACGCCTGGCAAATTCATATCTCTCTGATAGCTAATGAGTTTAAGCATCTCTTCGTACTTTTGCTGGCTATTTAGTTTCTCCCTCCCTTGACTATTTATATCTTTTGCTCATTTTTCTGTTTGGTTTCTTGTTTTGTAGAAGTTTCCTGTATGAATATCTAGATGTCCCTTTTAATTTTTTTTTTTTGTTTGTTTTAGTTTTTTTTTTTTGATACCAGGAATCAAACTCATGACCTCAGGCTTGCTAGGCAAGTGCTTAAGCTGCTGAGCTATATCCCTGGCCCTGTTTTAGTTTTTTGAGATAGGGTCTTGGTGTGTAGTTCAGACTGACCTTGACATTATAAAATTTTCCCCAAGCTATCATTTTATCATTTATTGTTTTTGTCTCCGGTGACCTTCATTCAAAGAAATCTTTAGTTTTTATTTTATCAGATTCATCTTTAAAGAAAAATGGGGAGTTGGGGATATAGCTCAGTGGTTGAGCCTTTGCTTAGCACATTCAAGGCCTTGGGTTCAATTCCCTGCCTAGGGGAAAAGTCTCAATCTCTGAACTCTGTGTGTGTGTGTGTGCGCGCGTGCGTGCATGCACGTGCACACGCGACTTTTGAGATTTAAGTTCCTTCCTATTCAAAATCATACAGGTCTTCCACATAAATTATAGAATAAATTTGGCAGCTTTCTAAGGAAAAATATCAGATATTCTGCTTAGAATTTTCTGAAGTCTTTGATCTCTTGCTTTTATGGTGACTCAAAAAATAAGACTGTGGCATTTATGTATATGGAGGCAGGCTTGTTTTATGGTAATAAACTACCTTAAAGACTGAAAACAAAGTTTATATTTCTAGATTGAGAAATCAGTACAGCAGGAGTCCTATGGAAAAGTACTAAGACTTTTTATGAAAATGGGAAGAGCCGCTGAGGTACTCTTCCATGGTCAGATTTATTAAATGTGTTTACTTGTTCAGTGGAAGAGATAGAAGAAAAAAAAAGACATGTAAGTAGTAAGATAATTGATGAATGATTGACCATATGGTTGATGCCAAAGGATGTGTTTCATTTTCTGTGAGAGATTGCATTTTTTTCTAGAAAATTTTGAATATCTTTTAAAAATGAAATTTCACATGTATGACTTACTTCCCCACTACCACAATCTTGCGTCCTCATTATTCTTATGAGTCAGTCACAAGCTCACATGATCTCATTTCAGGGTGAATTACAGCCAAATGGTTTTAAGGAGAAAAGAATTGAGTTGGACATACTATAGGTTAAAGCTTTCAGTCCTCATTTCCTCCCTTTCCTCATTCCTCATTTGAATGATCTCCTTTTGTTTTCACTAAGTGTTATCTTCTTCATGCCAGATTGATGTTTATTTCCAAACCTGCAGATGTGCCGTTCCTGTCCTAGCATGAGTGAGGCTGAGAGCTTTCAGCTTTATATGTAGGCTGTTTCCCCTGCTCACTGGACTTTGTGGTACGTAGAACACAGTCTTTACAGTTCTAATCCTAAGTATATGACAATAACAGTGAAATAGAAGTAGCTAACATTTACCAGATGTGTACTGTGTGTCAAGCACCTGTGTCTCATTTATAACTGTGACTTGAGAGGTCCAACTCGTAACACACGGTCTCACTTTATTGTCAAAATTCTACTATTTCTCTCTTTTTACTTTTGCGACAGGATCTCATTATGTAGCCCAAGGTGACCTAGAATTCGCAGCTATCCCCCTCCTCAGCCTCTCAAGTTCTGGGATTACAAACATTAATCTATGCTTTTAAAAGATATTCAGTCATGCCTGGGTTGATGTTTTTCTCTTTTGCTGAAACCAGAGAATTATCTAAAACCCCCCTACTTAGCGGAGCTGAGATGAAAACCCAGATTTCTTAGCTTTTCTCACCTTTCATGTTTAGCTAATTGTGTAAAACTCTGTTTACTAGCTGAGAGGATTCACATTGTGGGGTGTCCAAATTGTTGCCTCATCTAAATTTGCTTTGACTGTAGTTAGAAATGACTGGACCATTCCTTGCCTGATTACTGCTAGACTGTTTATTAGACATGCCCTATTCAGCCATGCCCTTTTTGTCCATATTTTCCAAGAAATGATTTCCTTTGTACTTGAAGTACTACTGGGTTTTTTTTTCTGCAGTACTGTGGGTTGAGCATAAGGCCTTTTTATTGAACTATGTCCCTAGTCTACTTTGTAGTTTTTATTTTTAGAGAGGGTCTTGCTAAGTTGCCCAGGCTGGGCTTGAACTTGCAATCCTGGCTCAGCCTCTCAGAGTGCTGGGATTACAGGTGTGTGCCACAATGCTGGGCTTAGTTACTGGCTCTTAACTTTGTTCATTTGTCAGGAAATCTATTCTCACACCTGCAAGCTCAATAAACACAGCCAATGAGCTGGCTTTGGAAAGGAATAGAATACCCTGAAAGAAACATAGTATACTTTGGGAAAGAAACCAGAACTTGGGTTTTCCTTACAGGTTACCAGAGAGCCTCCCTTGAAGTGTGTTTAGAGTGAGTCACTGAGAATAATTCTGTGTCCACCACTTAGCCCCTGTGCCTCTATTGTGTGCTTGAGAGACTCTAGACAGTAATACAAGGGGGGTTGGAAGTGTGGGCCCAATGCTAGCTAGTAAATATTCTTACATTAGCGGTTTGGGTTTTAAGTGATCTTTGCCTCTTTTTCTTGTTTTACCTCTTATTTTGTCATTTCAATTAAGGAAATATTTATTGAACATTTAGGTGTCAGATACTGTTCTTGGTGTTGGCAGCGACAGAGATAAGTTGGTCTACAGTCTTTTCCTCCAAGGAATAGCTTAGAACCAGCTCCATTTAATTTGAGCTTTGTTCCCTTTAGGGAACATAGAAGGAAAAGTTGACAAGACAGGTTGATGTCATTGTGGGTTTTTTTTTAATGACTTGTTTTAAACCGTTGAAGGTCTCTACAGAGCAGGGGGGAACCAAGTTGTTTAAAAACATTCTCTTGGTGTTGCTTGTGGTAGTACATGGCTGTAATCTCAACACTTTGAGAGGCAGGAGGATTATGAATTTGATACACACACACACACACACACACACATACACACACACACACATACACATACATACATACACACATACATAGCTAAGAATGTAACTCATTAGGAAGGCCCTGGGGCCTATCGCCAGTATTGCCCAAACAAACAAAACTCTTAGAAGATTAATCTAGTAACGATGCATAGGATGAATTAGAGTAAAGTGACCAGGTATGGTAAAGATAACCGTAAAGGTAAGAACCTTTAAAGGTAAAGGTAAGAACCTTTGTGCAATAGTTGATAATTTATAAAGCAACTCCACATACACAGTATGATCCCATTTGCATGCATGCAGACTGAACCTCAGAGAGGATTTGCGCTGGCGGGCATGTGCAGTGAGGGCTTGAAGAAAAGGGGTTGGCACTGGGGATGGAACATGGGACCAAGGGGAATGGCATTTTGGAGGCCAAATCTGTAGGCCTTGGGATTTCAGTAGATGTTGCTTATCAGCGAGAAGAAAGAGGCAGATAATACTGAGATTTGAAGGCTTCTGGAAAGGACCTTACTGTTCACAAAATTAGGGAGGTTAGGCAGTATAGCAAATTTGGTTTTGAATATTAGATTAAAAAGCAGGTGAGGGGCTGGGGATTTAGCTCAGCGGCACAGTGCCTGCCTGGCAAGCACAAGGTCATGAGTTCAGTTCCTGGTACTGGAAAAAACCAAAAAAAGAAAAAAAAAAAAAAAGCAGGTGAGTATGGCTAGGTGGCATTATCAGATGCACAGCTTGAAATTTGGGTCGAAGACTGGGACCAGGCATTTTTGCCACATCTAGAAAGTAGATACAGTTACTACTTTCGAAGGTTGGAAGGTAGATGCGAGAGCAGTGGGAGATGTCAGTGTGGTGGTGATCATGTGCAGAGAGAAGGAAATGGAGTGACTCAAGCTGCAAGATGATTTTGAGGAAGAGAAGGGGTAAATTTGAGGAGCTTGCAACTGAAGATCTTTGTATAAGACTAGGTCAGAACATGTGTAAAGTGAGGAGGATAGGAAGGACGTGCTGTGAAAAGAAAGCAGAGGTTCGGACAGCAGATAGTGGGAAGTCAGGGAAAGATGAACCAAAGAGACTCAACGTTATGGAGAGACTCAGGTCAGCATAGTTTGTAATTTCCCAGGCATTTTTAGAAACCAGAAAGTAAGATTAGAGGTGGGTGGGAATTGGAGCTTTTTCAGGGCCAGGGATTGGAAATTAAGAAGCAAGGGGAGAGTTGTGAATTTGAGAGTGTTTGCCAGTTGTTATTTCATAGATGAAGCACAGGTAAATGAGGAAAACAGTAAAATAAATGAGTTTGCAGGCCATTATTAATTTTGGCAGTAGGTGGGGGAGGTGCTAGTAAAAGCTCACACTTTAAATGTCAGTTTGGAATCTTTGGTGGTTTTCAATTATCCATGCTAAGTCTCCCTGTTAAGGAAGCATCTCATAGAATTAATAAGGAAAGGTCCTGAGGACTTTCTCCAGCAGCCTGGCCTAGGCTTGTGTTGCTCACTGCTCCCTGTTTTCCTCCTGTCTGAAATAGGACTGGCGAAGCCTGCTTTTATGTTGGTTGGTGCTATACTGCTGATTTTGTGCTTTGTATAAAGTGTTATATTTTTATTGTTAGGATTAATGACGTTTTGGGGTAGCATTTTTTCTAATGTTATAGAGTAATAGGCGCATCTTTTTTGAGTTCTACTTATTCCTTATTGTGAATTATTATAAATTACTCTAAATACCCCCTCTACACATCTTTTTCACTAACTCCTCTTTATTTTTTTGAGACAGAGTTTCATTGTGTAGTTCAAGCTGGCCTTGAACTTACCATGTAGCCCATGCTGGCTGTCAACTCACAGTGATCCTCTCTCTTCAGTATCCTGAGTGCTGGGATTATCAGCATGTGCCATCATGCCTGGCTCTAAAGTACAATTTTTATTTAAAGGAGATAGGAAGAAGACTCTTCAGGATGAGATAGAAGCCATTCTGCAGAAGAGAATTATGGTGCTAGATGGAGGGATGGGAACTATGATCCAGCGGTACAAGCTGAGTGAAGAAAGCTTTCAAGGTCAAGAGTTTAAAGATCATGCCAGGCCACTGAAAGGAAACAATGACATTTTAAGTATAACTCAACCTGATATCATTTACCAAATTCATAAGGTAAGTTATTTCCAGGTTCTTATACATTCATTCAAGCTGTTTCTTATACTAATGTCAGACCACTGTGCTATGTGTTGGCACAATGAGGAAAGAATCAGAAAGAAATAATTTATTATTAAAGAAGGAAGTGATTTATTCAGAAAGCCATGGATGGTGGACACTAAATAAAAGCCATGCACTGTGTTGGGCATTGTTGGGCATTTGGGATAATCAGATGAGCAAGGTAATTTTTCCTGACTCTGAGGCATGAAATGTTAACAAAACCCACAAAATCCAGGGCAGAGTTAGAGACTTCATGTTTACTGTCTTATTAAGTTATAGTAATAGCCCTTGTGAAGAAATACCAAAAGGTGATATCTTCATTGTTTTGGGCTGCTGTAACATTATCATAGACTAGGTAGCTTAAACAACATCTTCCTTACAGTTCTTAAGAGTGGGCAGTCTATGGTCAGGATGGCAACAAACCTTGTCTGCTCTGGGCATTCTTCCAGTTCACCATCTTTCAGGCATTATCTTCAGTCCTCACATGGTGGAGAGCAGAAAGAGGAAGCAAGGTCTTGTGTCTCTTTTAAGGGCATTACTATGACCTAAATGTTTGTGTGTCCCTCAGATTCATAGGGTAAATCCTAATACTTGGTTTGGTGGAATTAGGATATACCCTTGTAAAAGAGACCTATAGCAGCTTGTTTACCCCTTCCTTCTATCATTTGAGGACACAGAAGATGGCTTTCTGTGAACTAGAAAGGGGACTCCTGACCAATGTAAAGTCCCAAGACATAACTACCATTCACATATTTTAGTTTATACTTTAAAAATCTAAGGGTGGAAAAGTAAAAATTAAATTGGGTTTATATTGTTTCATGATTTGCATTTTTAAACTTTTTTCATGAGCATTAAATGTTTGCAAACTTAGTTTTATAACTTTATTATCTGTTCTGTGTGTGTATTATTTACCTAACTAATCTCCTTATTCCTAGGCATAAAAGTGGTTTTCAGGTTTTTTTGATCTTTTTTAAAAAATTAAATTTTAATTAATTCATTCTTATAAAACATTCTTATAAAAACTCATAGATAAGAATAAATTTCCATTTGAAAGTGCTATTTTTTTCCCCATAGATACCCACTATTAAGTGGTGTGTGCTTTTCTACATCCTTTTGTTATGTTTATATATGCATATGTGTATGTACTTACCTGGAAAACTCATAGTACTATTTGTGCATGTATATGTTTTACTTTTAATGGTGTCATGCTTTACATATTTTGTTGTTTTACTCATTACTCTGGAAGATCTTAATGTGTCAGTATATGTAGGTATACACAAAGTTTTTTTAGCTATCATATAGCATGTAAGAATATAAATATGTAATTTATTTAGCTGTCTTCTTATTGATAATATTTAGGATCTTTGTGACTTAGTGTTGTAAATGTGTTTATCTATGAGTTTTTATAAGAATGTTTTATAAGAATGAATTAATTAAAATTTAATTTTTTAAAAAAGATCAAAAAAACCTGAAAACCACTTTTATGCCTAGGAATAAGGAGATTAGTTAGGTAAATAAATACACACACAGAACAGATGGTAGTTTTAATTTTCTAGCTCTTTAGAAAAAGAAATCAGTTTAGGAATGGTTGAGTTTACTCACTGTTAGAAAATCAATGGGCTTGAGAGATAATAGGGTATTAGTCAGAGTGAAGTTGAGATGATGTCCCAAGAGTGAAAGCAGGAAGATAGGTTTCCAGCAGGAGACCAGTAGGGCATTAAACTCCTTAGAATTCTAGTAAGGGTGCAAATGTGAGTGAGAGGGACTAAGAGACATGGACTGAAAAAAAAACCTGGTCGGCATTTGAGATCTCAGAGATGGTGCAGTTTGCAGTATGGATCAAGTTGTACTGCAGCAGGGAGAAAGGTACAGAAACAGATATGCTATTTGTGGAGTGCCCAAGATGTATCTGATACTTACCAAAGAGCCACATTGTTTTCAGAAGGGGATTATTAGTACTTTAAGATGAGGATACTGCAATTGAGAGTTTAAGGGACTTGACTGAATTTAAGTTTGTTTGGTAAGCCTCTTGCCTTTCTGTGAGGTCCTTACACGTTCCTGTGTCTTGGCTCTAGTGCAGTGCTTTACCCTCAGTGAGTGGTCTGAAGGTGGTTGGTGATGGTGATGGTGATGATGAAAGGACATGTTTATTGTTAGTGGACAGGAATTCTAAACTTACAAGAATTGATATTCTTATCTCTTGTTGCAGGACTACTTGCTGGCTGGGGCAGATATCATTGAAACAAATACTTTCAGTAGCACCAGTATTGCCCAAGCTGACTATGGCCTTGAACACTTGGTAAGAATTACATGTTACCTTGTATCTAAGATGCTTATGAGCATTTGCTGCATTGGTAGTTGCCAGTAGGAAAGTCACCTTGAAGCAGCAGTCAAGCTAATGCCTCATTAGCTGTTATTAGTGGTAAGAGGCAGATAATGGTTTGAATCTCCTCTGGTTTTAAGCACAGTAACCCATTCATTTTACAGCTAGTTTCTTTTGTGGGCAAGTTATACTGAGAGTAAAGCAGTAAAAATGGTACTTACTATGCAATGGCTTTTGATAAAGGCATAATCATTGCTTGTGTGCACATATAGACAGGATGTAAATAAACGGTCATGACTATGTTGCAGCAAAACTTTATTTACAAAAATATGCAGGAACTACGTTAGGCCAAAGAACAATACTTTGCCAGTTCTTATTTAGGATATTGCAGTTATTTAATTATCTAATGTGGGGCTTCATGACACATAAGACTATAGAGGAGGAGATTGTGAAAATTACAAATCTAGGACCACTGATCTGGTATGTGGGAGGGTTTCTGAAAAGCCAGTAACATCCTTAACTTGCAGGCCACACTTTGTGTTATGTACACATTTCATTTCCTAGTAAGAAGATGCATAATTCCTTATCAAATTCTTATGAAGTTAATAATCTAGAAAATGTTTAGAATGATTGATAACCAACCATTGTACATTGTGAAGGAAGTCAAGGCCAGGGGAAGTTGTGGGAACCACCTGGCCAGGCAGTGACAGAGCCAGTCCTGGAATGCAGGTGTTTTGCTTCTATAGCCTGTATTTCCATTATTACCATACTCTTTCTTAGTTTATGTATTATTTAATTGTACCAGCTTATTCTGTGACATGCCAGATTGTCCAGAGGTTACCCTTTTTACCAGCTGGCTCAGGATTTAGGAGAAGATCATAGGAAAGCAATTACCAAGGACTCTTGCCATTTTCTGCTGCCTTTCAAGGCTGGGGCAACTGATAGAACTTGGCTATGATTTCACTCAGCCTCAGATTAATTCATTTTACATTTCCTTGGTGAATGTAATTGAGTATTAGATGGTTACAGATTCCTTATTGTGTAGAGGAAAAGCAGCACAAACTAATGCTAGTGGTTGATGTGTTAGGCCTACTGGATGAACAAGTGCTCTGCAGGTGTGGCCAGAAAAGCTGCTGAGGAGATAACACATCAGACAGGTAACAGATATTTTTCTTCTTTTCTTGCATGCTTGGTTTCTCTGATATTCTTAGCTCTATGTACTATCCTTATTGCAATTTTTACTTCTATGACTGACCTTTGGCTTATGAGCAACTGCACATATTGTATTTTAACCTATTTGTAGGTAATTTTTCTGTTGCTTTTAAATAATGAAGCATTCATCATCACTCTGAAGTGATGTTATCCCTGTGGAGCTTGGGCTCCAGATTTACCCTTTCACTCTGCTGGTGTCAATTGCCTGACTTTTTAGCTAGTCCTGTGTATTTAGACCTGAAATGATTTCTCTCCCTTTGGAAGCATATCATCAGATTATTAACAGCTGACTGATTTATTGTTTTGGCTGTTGTTAGGTGTTTGATCTGTTTCTTCTAAAGCTGCCCTTCTCACCATGATTGTGCTATGTAGGCAGAGAGTGCCTTTGGAGCGTTTTGTTCTTTCCAGGACTGATGACCTTGACAGCTGTGCAGCACATGGAAGAGTGTGGCATTAGATTCAGTCTTGCTGGCACTTGAAAAGTGACTCTTGAAACAGTTAACCTCCTGACTGATTGCGCTCAGAACACTTGGGCACCAGCTGGTGGGAGGCTTTGAGAGTGGAAAGGAGTAGAAGAAATATATGGAACGCCTTAAATTTTGGAAGTGTGAAGTTTTTGCCAGTAGGAAAGGTGTACAACAAAATTGTTAAGAAGTTAGCCACAGCATACTAATGAAGGCTAAAGCAATTTGTAGGAATTCTGTTCTTTAGTGATAATGTTTAAATCCATGGAAATCCATAGACTGTTTCTCCAATAGAAAGGCAGGGCAGAGGATATTGAACTGGCTTAAGCAGTGAGAGATAAGGATGTTTTTCTTGTACCTATATTATCACTCAGTTTCAGGGAAGTTAAAGAATATTTAGGCCTGTAACCTGTTCACAGGGTTATCAACTAGTTAGCAACTTTCTTCAGTTCCATTATAAGGCACAGCCCACATTATTGAGTAACTAACATCACCAAAAGTAACGTGTAGTATGATCTTGGCTTCTGTGATATGTGAACACAAATTGAAGCCATCTTAGAAGCACCTTGATTCTGCTTCATACTTGAATTTCAGACTTTGTAGTTGTTAATTCTGCAAAAGGCCTGCAATACTAGAGTGTGTGTCAGGTTGAATGCTCCTTGTGAGGCACATTGTTATGTTCAGGACCTGCAAGACTTCCAAAGTATTGGGAGAGAAAGAATTTGTCTAAGCCAGGCGTGGTGGCTCATGCCTGTAATCCCAGCACTCTTGGGAGGCTGAGGCAGAAGGATTACTGTGAGTTCAAGGCCAGCCAGAAGTGCACAGCAAAATCCTGTCTCAAAAAAGACAAAAAAAAAAAGGAATTTGTCCAGACAAAACTGTAGTGATAGAAACGGATTATTTATAGAAGCACTTTGAGGTCAGATATCTCACTTTGAGGTGAGAATTTATAGGTTTTTTTGGAATTAGTTTGGTGATAATATTTACATATCCTTTATTTTGCATGACTTCCCCAGGACATCTGGAGAGACCCCTAAAACTAAATGTGTATTAGCAGAATCTGAATCATCCCACTAAGTGGCAGAAAGACTATAAATAGCCTTTTATTAGTTCATTAGAAGTAGTTTTATCATCCAATGAATTCAGAAAAAATTCTAGGCTTCCAGAGCTTTTTGTATTTCAGAGTTGTGTACAAAAGATGTCTTTGTTACTTTCTTGTTGCTGAGACACAATACCTGACACCCACAATTGTAAGGAAGAAAGGTTTATTTTGGCTTACAGTTTGCAGAGGTTTTAGTCTGTAGTCCACTGGCTCCAAGGCAGGGGAGCATGGCAGAGGAGGTACAGCTCATGGCATGGTGGCAGCGGAAGCTGAGAGGAATCAAGGGAGGAAGTAGAGAAATACACCTTTCCAGGCCACACCCCCAGTGATTCACCTCCTCCAACCAGGCTTCACCTCCTACCATCACATTTAGCCATAAACTCATTAGTGGACTAATCTGCTGATGAGTATTGCACCCCTCTAATCTTATGAATCCATGAGGCTTTGGGGGGACATTTATAAACCACAACAAAGGGTTATAGCCCTGTGTTCTAGGAAAAGTCTGATAGGCTGTTGATTCACAGCAAAGAGATTGGGCTATTTAGGGATTTCACACTTGTTTTTCTTTTCCCAAAGGAGTCAAGAGGTTTGTGGCCGGAGCTCTGGGTCCAACTAATAAGACGCTGTCTGTGTCCCCATCTGTGGAAAAACCAGATTTTAGGAACATCAGTGAGTATTTATCATATATGATTTGGGTCTTGCCTTGGTGTGTCAGTAATCTGTAAATCTCTAAAACAGAACCAATAACAGGATTTGCCTCAGGGATATTGTAACTTTGTCTGAGGGTTTATAGTAGTGTCTGGAATATGGTAGACATCTAAATAAAACGTTGCTATTATTATTTCAGATTGCTTATAGATAGGTATACATAGTGATGTGTTCATGCTTTCTTATCAGAGGTGGAAATAAAAGCAGTTGAAATAAAGTTTTGAAGTGAGAAGAAGAGTTTTAAAGTGAGAAGATGAACAAATTTGGTTACCAGCTCTTGGCCTATTATAAAGTAACCTACTGTATCCCCATGTAATAATATAGCAGGAAGCAGTCTCAATTATCTAAACATACTAGTGTTATAAACTAGCATATCATCAGATTATTGATGTATATGTAAATGTGTATATGTAAATGTGCTTTGTTGAGATTTGATGAAATCTAGGAATTAGGTTAATGTCTAAGCATCAAGACTATATAAAAAAGAATTAACATGTCAGAGCTGAATAGTTATAATACCATATATAGTAATGGATGTTGTGTAGATGACAGTTTAAGGTAAGTACAGTTTGTAGGCTTTTGGTAAGAACTTAAATGCTGTTATATCATACTTTTTCATTAAGAGTTGCTCTTACCTGGCTGCTGTGTGCTTATTGCTTTCTTTGGTCTAGACATGATAGTGGGGGAGCTGACCTCTCCTTGTTCCTGTATTATATAAAGTCAGGTTTACTTACACAGTAAACATCAATTTCCTGTTTAGGTTTTTCTGTTGAATACCTGAGCACTTTTTCTTTTTTCATTGAGAGAGAAAATGAGGAAAGGGATGAATTCTCAGGTGGAAATAACACAAGATGGTTTTGTTTTTGAGGCAGGGTCCCACTGTGTAGTTCAGGTTGGCCTTGAACTCATTATGTAGTCCACGCTGGCCTTGCACTTATAGCAGTCCCCCTGGCTCAGCCTCTTGAGTGCTGGCACTATGGGTGTGCACCACCATGCCTGGTAACACAAGATGCTTTTAACAAAAACTTCGGAATGATGGAACACTTTTAGTTGAGACTTGTGGTAGAGAGGCCTCCTCTCCAACAGCATTCGTGTAAGGGCAGGAGTGAAATCCATATGACTGTCCCCTTTAACCAGAAAGAGTGAGATTTTTTTTTTTTTCTGGTACCGGGAATCAAACTCACAACCTCGCGCTTGCCAGGCAGGCTCTGTGCCACTGAGCTAAATCCCCAGCAAGAGTGAGATTTTTGAGGCAGGTTGTGATGTACTCAAATCATGTGTTTTACACTCACCTCTTAATTGGCTTACTAAAATGATCTGTAGGAAGAAGGATACGTTTTAAAGATGTTGAGCATAAAGCACATGGTTCCAGAAGTTTACATACCTTTTTACTCCTGGTCCCTACATGGGAAGGGAAAGTCATGTGTCAAGTGTTTAGGAGCAGCTTATTCAGTTTATTCGGCTGTTCAGTTTATTTGGCTCCCATTACTGCCATATTCATTCATTTAATTAGCAAAGGTTCATAGGTGCCGGACCTGAATCTCCTATATCCAGAAGGTATGGGTGACTGATGTGCTGTGGTGATTTATTTTTTGTAGCATTTGATGAGCTTGTTGAAGCATACCATGAGCAGGCCAAAGGACTTTTGGATGGAGGGGTTGATATATTACTTGTTGAGACCATTTTTGATACTGCCAATGCTAAGGTGAGTTAAGGGGAGAAGGGAGAGTGCTGGGGTGAGGGCTGTGAAGAACCCTGTAATGCAGGGAGATGATAGTAGCCATTATCAAATTGAATATATTTCCTGTATTTGCTCCATTTTAGTCTTGAATATTTTTAACTGAGGCCAGTTGAATAAGTAAAATTTCAAAAGAGCTGCGTTTTTAGCTTTTGAAAATGTTTTTCTCATGCAGTTAAATATTTTTATATATTACTACTATGTGTACATATCTGTATATGTAGTAAATGCATGATGTAGTTGTAAACTTGAAAGACACATAAATATATGGAGTGAAAGTAAGTATTCTTCTTTGTTCTAATCTTGTATATCCAGCTGTCTTTCCAGAAAACCAGTTTGGGAGTCTTGGGAAAGATTCTGTGTATCTACTTTTCTGAGAAAGACTCTGTACAGATATAAGATGCAAGTGTGTGCACATGCATGTGTGTGCATATGTGCTCTTTCCATAGATACAAAGGTGTATAAGCACACAGTAGAAATTATATATCCTTAAGTATGTCTGTTTGCATAGTACATCTATAGGATAAATTTCTACAGGTGAAATTACTAAGTCAGAATGTATGCATTTAAAATTTTTATCCTTAGTGTGCGTTATCCTGTGTTGAGATTATACTCAATTGTATCTCCACTAGCAAGAAGTTTGCAGTAGTGCTAATTTTCTTACATCTTCTCTGATACCATGTATTAAGGTTTCTTAGCTTTTGCCATCTGGACAAGTAGAAAACTTATAACTCATTGTAATTTTGTGTTTTTCTACTATAAATAAAATTGAACATCTCCTTTTCTGTGATTTATGTCTTCTTTGTTCCTTTGCCCTTTTTTTTTTTTTTTTTTTTTTTTTTTGTTTTTTTCTTTCAGGGTCGCGAATCGAATTCACGACCTCGGAATTGCAAGAATAAAAAAAATAGAAAAACTACTCAGTCTACTTTCTACCTTCAACAACTGAATATTTTTTTTTTTTTTTTTTTTTTTTGGTGGTGCTGAGAATTGATTCCAGGGTCTTTTTGGTTTTTCTCTGGTACCGGGAACCGAACTCACGACCTTGCGCTTGCCAGGTAGGCGCTTTTGCCGCTGAGCTAAATCCCCAGCCGATTCCAAGGTCTTGTCTTTTCTTTTTTTGGGGGGGAGGGTCTTTTTGAGACAGGGTCTTGCTATGCAGTTCAGGCTGGAGCTCACTTGAGCTCACTTTGTAGCCCAGGCTGGCCTCGAACTTGCAGTGATCCTCCTGCTTCAGCCTCCCGAGTGCTGTGATTACAGCGTGTGCCACCACGCCCAGCCATTCCAGGGTCTTTTCACTGAACTACATCCCCAGCCTCCTCCTTCCCTCCCTCCCTCCCTGTCCCTCTCTTTCTCTTTCTCTCTCTCTCTTTTTCATTCTAAATTTTATTTTAAATTCTGAGACAGGGTCTCATCAAGTTGCCCAAGGTAGGCTTGAATTTGTAGTCCTCCTGCCTCAACCTCCCGGGACCTCCCTGCTACCACCATGCCCAATTATTTTTTAAATTCTTGAGGAAATAAAATCACAAATTCAGAGATTTTGAGCATTTTAAAATATTATTTACTAAAATACTTGCATGTAGGAAGCCATTCCCATCCAGAAGCTCAATGCGTACCATGTTAATCAGCTTTCTGTCACTGTAACAAAATAACAGATAACTGTAAAGAGAAATGGTTAATTTTGGCTCACAGTTTTGGAGGTTCCCGTTCAGGACCCATTGGCTTGGTCCTGTGGAGGATGTGCCAGATGGCAGTAGTGGAGATTACATGGCAGAGCAAACTGCTTACCTTATGGCCAGGGTTCGTCGGGGCTTTCAAGATCCTCTTGGATGTGACCTAAAAACCCCTCACTATGCCCAACCTGTACGTGAAAGTTCCACCACCTCCCAGTACTGGCAACTTGGGGACTGCCTTTAACATGTGGACCTTAGGAGGACATTCAAGATCCAAGTGACAGCTACTGCCCTACCTCACTCTTTTTTTTTCCCTGTATGAGGGATTGAACTCAGGGCCTTGCACTGGACAACTAAGCTGCCTTTGCAGCACACCTACCTTACTCTTAACATCATTTTTATTGAGTTCTCTTTTTATACATCAGAAATTGTTTTGTGGAGTTGGGCTTTGTGGTGCATGCCTCTAATCTCAAGATACTTGGGAGGCTGAAACAGGATGATTGTGTGAGTCTTGCCTTAGTAGAACTGTCTCAAAATAAATACAGTTTAAAATGTTATGGGAATGTAGCTCAGTGGTAGAGCGCTTGCCTGGCACACATAAAGCCCTGGGTTTAATCTCCAGTACTTAAAAAAAAAAAAAAAAAAAATCTGAAGTGAGATTCAAAGCAATTCAGGTATAATTTTGAAAATAAAAGCAGTTAAAAACAAAGAAACATCTGAAGCAAGATTCAGATATACATTTGAAAATAATCAGCTGGGCATGGTGGCGCATGCCTGTAATCCCAGCACTTGGGAGGTGGAGGCAGGAGGATCATTGTGAATTTGAGACCAGCTTGGGATACAAAGGGAGATCAAGGCCAGCCTGAACTACATAGTGAGATCCTGTCTCAAAAA